TATTACCTGGTGCATCAACTAACCTATTACCTGGTGCATCAACATAATACTAACTATTATCTGACACATCAACTAACCTATTACCTGGCGGGCATTAGCCACCTGATACCCCACCCCTCGGACCAGCCCAACTTAATAAAAGTGGAAAAAATCAGGTAGACAGGGCTCAGAATTTGGTGGTGAGACCGCTCTGAGCCCGCCGGCGAATAAACTTTGATTCTCCAACTCTCCATGTGCCCCTCGGTTTGTCCTCCGGACCACCCGCCGTAACACTTGCTGTAACATCCACAGATCCTAGCATAGTATAGGTGTTCAATACATATTATTAAATTGAGTTGTTGAAGGTGCAGGATGCTGGGCATAGAAAGAATAGATTGAAAAGAAATTACAAAGCAGGACACATAAACAAGGTCTAGCAAAAAAGAGTGCTTGAATTAGGGTTCTAGCAGGAAACAGATGGTATACTCAAAGGGCTAATTGGACACGTTTTAATGAAGGGATTATTTACAAAGGTGTGTGCAGGTTTAATAAATCAACAAGAGATGCTGAAGCACCCAGGGACTTGCAAAGTAGGCAGCCTTTACCAGCCTTTAACCTTTAACGGGCCGTTATTGGAACTGTGAGAGGTGTACCCAAGGGAGAGGGCTGTAGCTTCAATAGAATACGCAGCTTTAGGTAGAGGAACTCAGACGCTGCCAAAGATCTGCCAGTGCCTCCCACTGGCCTATTCTGATGGGAAGCCAGAGAACAACGAAGGCCGAGTGAAGCTGCCCATAGAGTTTAACCTCTTGGAGCAAAGAACGGGGTAAAAAGGATGGTTAGTGGATATGGAAGGGTAATGAGAGCATACGTAGCACAGTGGACAAGGTCAAGGTCCTAAGAAAACTAGGGACGAGCTATGCATATTTGTACTTTCCCTAGCCTTTGGCTCTAAAAGGATGGAAATCTAGGGGCAGATAGTGAAAGTGGGGATTAAGAAGAATTGTAAGTAATAGTCTAAGAGGCAATAAACAGTTAAGCATTTGAAAAAAATACAGCTCTTTCAGGGAAAGGGGAGATGATAGAGTCCCTAAGAAAAAGCCCAATATGGGGTCTATGGACCATGATGCTTTTCTGTCCCACCTAGAAATAGTAACAAAAGTTGGACCTCTCTGTCCATTTGTTTTACAAGATTCCAGCCTCTTCTTTATTCCTATAACTACTATCTTCATCTCACTCTTTTCACTGACTTCAGTGACATGCTTAGTTCCTTTTGATTAGTTGTTTTCTTATGCGCCCAAATTTGGTGCCTCCCATCTCTCTAGTATGGCAGCCATATAGGGACAGATTGGCTGAGGCCTTTCTGCCATACCATCTAAACTAACTCAGCCAGAATCCTTAGTTAATTCTCAGACATCTATTATACTTCCCATATTCTTTACCGTCTGGGACTGAGTCTCACTTATCTATCACTTGCAGAGGAAAAGAATAAATCAGAGATACAATCACTCTGAGAGAGAATATCAGAAAGATCCAGATAAAAGATCAATAAGAGGTAACAGAGAAGAAAATTAGAATTCATAATCAACATTTTATTGGCAAGTCAGCCACATAGTGATTGAGATACTCTGGGTCAGACAGATTGGATTCTGAGTTCCAGCTCTGCCACTAGTTAGCTATGTAATTTAGGAAAATTACTTAATCTCCATGAGCCTTGATTCATTTGTAAAGGTAGGAATATCTACCTTACATAAAAAGTATTTAGCACAATGCCAGGCACATTGCAAATAAGTCCTCAACAAATGAAGTTATTATAAATCATCATCTTCATAATTATTTTAATGGTGAGGTGCTGCCACTGTATATATGGCCAATGTACTGCAAGAAAAACATGCTTAGAATTATCGATCTAATTATATCATGGCATAGTTATTTCCCCCTTGGCATGTAATTATACCAAGGCACATAAAAGGACATAGAGATATCAGAATGTGAATATGCAATGTATAAGATTAATATGGCTCATCCAAAGGATAAATGTGAACTGCAGGATGGATGACTGAAGGGTAGTCCTGAGAGCTGTATGTTCAGACCAGATGAAGTCATCTCCTCTCCTTATGCCAGTCTAGAAGGCTTCTCCTAGGAAGCAGGCTCAATCTGTAAAATCAAGTTAGTCAGTATTTACTAAACATACCATATACCTAAGAATACAATAAATTACAAGGAAATGAAAAATATTAAAGGTAAGATATAATTCCTACCCTCAAGAACCCCACAATCTCATTGAAAGGGTTATGAATACAATCCAAAATAAAGTATCAAATTCTTCAATGGAGAGTACAAGTGCAATAAGTGATCACAGAAGGGAAAGAGCTAATAGGCTAGAGTCCTTGGAGAGAAATTCATCGAAGTAGGGCCGGAGTGGGATGGGTGAAGGGGGCCAGACCTTGACAGAGGTAAAGGATATTTGAAAAGAGAAAGAACTAGGGATTAGGAACACTCCACGAATGCCACTCTAGAAGTATTCTAGTAGGAGTGATAAGGAAAACCCCCATCTGTTACTTGGCACATCAGCCACCTGAGACCCCCACCCCTCATGGAAGACCCATATAGCATAATCCTAACCTATTACCTGGCCCATCAACTAATCTGTTACCTGGCGCATCAGCATAACACTAAATCTATTATCTGCCACATCAACTAACCAATTACCTGGCGGGCATTAACCACCAGACACCCTACTCCCCAGACCACCACAACTTAATAAAAGTGGGAAAAATCCGGTAGACGGTGCTCAGAATTTGGTGGCGAGGCCCCTCTGAGCCCGCTGGCGAATAAACTTTGATTCTCTGACTCTCCGTATGCCGCTCGGTTTGTCCTCGGGACCACTTGCTGTAACAGGAGGAACGTCCAAAATCAATTCAACTTTTACTGAATGGCTACTTTAAGTTTGGTACTGTGTTAGATGCTGAGGTACAGAAAAGAATAAAATAATCTGTTTTCAAGGAACTTAAAGTGCCCTGATGGAAAACTGGGAGAGAGAAACACACAAACAAAAAACCCAGTTATTACAAAGCAGTGTGACAGATGCTGTAATAAAGGAATGACCAGCAGGTTTTGGAGCACTGGGATGACAGGCACTGGACAGGACGTTTATGTGGCAGGGCAGGTCTTCTGAGTGAGTGATTGTCTGAAGCTTGGAGTCCTTCCGCCACAGCTCGACTGCCCCCAGACGGTGGCGAGGACTGACATGTAAATCACTTTGCGTGAAGTGGGCTGAGAGGTAGGGTAAGCTTCTAGGAGTTAACACTTAAGCTGAGGCCTAGTTGAGCAGGTGTTTGCCAGGGTGACTTGGAGGGCAACTTTGGCAGAAGAAATACCAAACGCAAAGGTACTGAGGCATGAGGGCCTGACATAGTTTGGAAACTGTGAAGCTTCCACCTAGGGTTGTTGGATAAAATACAAGCTGCCTACTTAAATCTGAATCTCAGATAACCAATTAATAATTCAAAAATGGAAGTATGCCCCAAATATTGCATGGGACATACACACTCTGGGCTCCCTTCAACGCATTCTTGCCGCCCCCGGGGCCCACAAACCCCCTACAAATACTGGCGAGCTGGTGGAGTGAAACATGAGAAGCTATCTCGGGATTATTTTCCTTTCACTCCTACATTTTTCACTCTCAGGTCTCAGGACTGACGGATGTAGCTCGCAACTCGCTTGTCTGCGGTCCGCCTCTGCCGACCGGAGTTGGGGAATGGAAGGGGTGGGAGGGTCACTCACAAAGAAAGCTCACTCCACTCCGTAAAAATAGCGGCCAGTGCCGGCTTTCCCTCCTACCAAGGGACCGGAAATCCCGCCCCCTTCGGAGGAAGAAGCGGAAGCAAGGCAGCCAATCCAGAAGAAGGCAATTCTTCGGCTGTGGCTACTGAGGTCCGGGCACGGTGCTGGCGACCGGAAGCAGTGGGGGGCGGGGCTTCATGCCGGAAGTGATGGTTTTGCAGTTGTTCTGTTGGCATTCCGGCGGCGGGAGATGTGCTGCCAGCCTGAGGCGAAGAACCGAAGCGCTGGTTAGTTTGGAGCTAGGGCTGAGTGCCTGTCGCGCAGTGAGATCATGAGCTCGACCAAACACTGGGGAGAATGGTTCCTGAACCTGCGGGTGCCCCCCGCCGGAGTATTTGCTGTGGCCTTTCTTGCCCGAGTTGCCCTGGTTTTCTATGGGGTCTTCCAGGACCGGACCCTGCTCGTGAGGTATACAGACATCGACTACCAGGTCTTCACGGACGCCGCGCGCTTCATCACCGAAGGGCGCTCCCCTTATCTGAGGGTGACTTACCGTTACACTCCACTGCTGGGTTGGCTCCTCACTCCCAACATCTACCTCAACGAACTCTTTGGAAAGTTTCTCTTCATCAGCTGCGACCTCTTCACCGCTTTCCTCTTATACCGCCTGCTGCTTCTGAAGGGGCTGGGGCGCCGCCAGGCTTGTGGCTACTGTGTCTTTTGGCTTCTTAACCCCCTACCTATGGCAGTATCCAGCCGAGGCAATGCGGACTCGATCGTCGCTTCCCTGGTCCTTATGGTCCTGTACTTAATAAAGAAGAGACTGGTCGCGTGTGCAGCTGTATTCTATGGTTTCGCGGTGCATATGAAGATGTATCCGGTGACCTATATCCTTCCTATAGCCCTCCATCTGCTTCCAGAACGCGACAATGACGAAGACCTCCGTCAATCCCGGTATTCTTTCCAGGCTCGTTTGTATGAATTCTTGAAGAGGCTGTGTAATCGGTCTGTGTTGCTCTTTGTAGCAGTTGCTGGACTTACATTTTTCGCCCTGAGCTTTGGTTTTTACTATAAATATGGTTGGGAATTTTTGGAGCACACCTACTTTTACCACCTGACTAGGCGGGATATCCGTCACAACTTTTCTCCGTACTTCTACATGCTGTATTTGACTGCAGAGAGCAAGTGGAGTTTTTCCCTGGGAATTGCTGCATTCCTGCCACAGTTCATCTTGCTTTCAGCAGTGTCTTTCGCCTATCACAGAGACCTTGTCTTTTGTTGTTTTCTTCATACATCCATTTTTGTGACTTTTAACAAAGTCTGCACCTCCCAGTACTTTCTTTGGTACCTCTGCCTACTGCCTCTTGTGATGCCTCTAGTAAGAATGCATTGGAAAAGAGCTGTAGTTCTCCTAATGTTATGGTTTATAGGGCAGGCCTTATGGCTGGCTCCTGCATATGTTCTTGAGTTTCAAGGAAAGAACACCTTTCTGTTTATTTGGTTAGCTGGTTTATTCTTCCTTCTTATCAACTGTTCCATCCTGATTCAAATTATTTCCCATTACAAGGAGGAACTCCTGACAGAGAGAATCAAATATGAGTAATGTATGTTCCATATCTTTTACATTCTGATCTGTATGGACCAGAGGAGAGCTTTGGAAAATTTTTTCTGAACATTCTAAAGATTCTAGTGAAAGTTCTCGTGTTCCAACAGAAGTTAAAACCAACGGTTGCCTTTTATATAAAAGTGACACAATAATTGAGGTTCACCCTCTCAGGACTCATTTATGTGGGACATGATGGGAAGAAAAAGTTACTTGTTTGAAATTGGAAAGACTGATGAAACTATCAGATGCTAAACGGTTCTTAAAATAGGAAAATAGAAGAACATAGTTAGAGGCATAAAGTTTAAGCCAGTATTTGTTCCAGTTATACTGTTACTGTCTTAAGCTGTCTTGTCTTTTAACCCCCACTTTTTCTTTCTAAAGCTTTCCTGACAGCTATGAAAATTCATAAAGGATTCCTGAAATACAGATTTTTAGATATAAAGCAAAACACTACTATGTTTAGTTGGGAAAGTTTTTAAATTGTGTATTAAGTGTGGGGGCTTAGAAGATAAATAATCCAAAGAATTTAAATTGTAATCTGTTTCATGTATTTGTTTTATAACTTAGTTTTTCAGCACTGAGTCCCAGTGGTATTAGATTACCATTTGGTTTTATATAAAAGTATTAAATTTAAATTCATTCATCTTTAGGCTTGAGTTATTACATTTAAAAAATATCATTTTTCTTTTTATGTTTGATGTCCTTAAACACACAAACTATTAGGGCATTTTAGTATACTCTCCTTTGTTTTTAAGTTTCTGTTTGCTAAAAAAAGATTTTTCATCTAGAGTTTAAGTCAAGTGTTGTCTGTATTATAAAAATAAATAGTAGTAGATTTTAGGTGATAAAACATTAAATTTTTAGATTGGCACTCCAGCAGATGAGAGATGCGTTTTTAAGGCATTTCTTAGCTTACAAAAGTGAAACCCCACTTACGAAAATTCCATGATAGAAATGGAGACCTCTGAGGAAGACTCCTGGAAAGCCTAAGAAGCATCCTAAAGAGCCATTGATCTTCCAGACCAGGAAATTGGACCAGGGGGACATTGCGGAAATGAGGCTTTGGTGGGCAGATCTGTTTCCCTTATCACTGTAATATTTCTGGGGGAAAAAATGCTTTGTTTTAATAAGCATCTTAAAAAAACCTTTTCAAAACATGTCCTATCTAGGTTTGGGTCTCCCTAACACTCTATAGTAGCAATGTATGAGTATGATTTTGTGATTGTGGTTTTAAAAGATGAGTAATCTAACAAATTATTTCACAGTCAAAAACAAAACAAAACAAAACACAAAGCTGGATTTGGTGGTGTGTACCTGTAAGTCCCAGCTACGCAGAAGGCTGAGGTGAGAGGATCACTTGATCCCAGTAGTTCAAAACCAGCCTAGGCAACATAGCTAGACAACCCCATCTCTAGAAAAAAAAAAAAGAAAAAAAAGCAAAAAGTTCCAGAGAAGTAGTATATTTCATGTCAATTCAGGCCTAAAAAAGCCTTTGAGAATAAGATGTCTATAGCCTGGTCACAATTAAGAATGCTGCTACTGGCAGCACTTCTTTGATGGATACCTTCTAGGACCTGCCACTAGAGCTGGTAGTTTTATGTGGGCTCGTTTGGACGAAAATAGCAGTCAGTTGTTGAGAATGATAACCCTCCTTAGAACATCTAGTCTCATACCCTACATTAGGTCTTATCTTGAGGACTCTTTGTATGTAATTGTTCACTAATGGCCTTCCAGCCATGGTATCTTACCTATTTTCTCCCCATTCTTTCATAATAATTTTAAAAAAATGTTTTTGATAGAGCTGGCAAGGGAGGGGGTGGACAACAAATAGAATTCCATCATCCCAATATAATTGCCTTTTTTTGTATTCTTTTTTATAATTATATTTGCTTACTAGTTTATTATTTTTTTTTTTTTACTTTAACACGCTTCCTTTGTTGTGGCTTGCTCTTCATACTTAGCATTCACATTTCTGGACATTATGTGAATGTTCATGTTGTATGTACATCATTCTTTTCCTGTTAGAATTTTAAGTTGCTCCCAATTTTTTTTTTTTTTTTTT